GCTGGGGATGATGGGAGTTGTAGTCCAAAAACAGCTAGAGACCCGAGTTTGGGAAACCCTGGTCTTGATGAACCTTCCCTAACCAGGAAGGTGATCTGGACTACAGCACCTATCATCCTTAAACTGGCTGCCTGGAACTAGTAAGAGCTGGAGTTCAAAACATCTTGAGGGCACCAGGTTAGGGAAAGTTGATCTAGGTCTAGATACACACATATTGAGGTATACTGAAAAGTCACAAAGATCCAAAAATTAATGGACTGAAGTTAGACTGAAGTTAAGTTCTGTGGTTCTATCAAAGTCAAACTTAGTTGGCTACAACCCCACAAGGTGTGAACTAGGCCTCACAACAGATGATGTTGCCAGTTTATGGCCAGTACCACTTCAGCTAGCAGGTGGGACTTATGTAATTGAACACTCCTCTATTTAAAAACAAAACAAAACCAGCAACCCGTGTCAGGGAGAAAATGAAGTTAGAAGTTAGTTTCTAACATAGAGGCAATGAATGTGGCATCGAGGGGCAACGTGAGCCCCCTCTTACAGACCTGCACAGTGTTACAGGTTAACTGCTTTGTCTACTTTTTGCAGAAAGTAGGTATCACAGACAAAATTCTAGAATGAGAACTTCCAACTATCTATTCCCCATCTTGGCAGCAAGAATCCTACAGAAAGATACCTAGCCACATGGAAGGTGACACTGTCAAATTGGTTAATCCATTCCTGTTCTGCAACCAATTCCTGTTAAGCTGATCTTGCCTTATATAACAAATTATGTCTATTAGATACAATCTGTGCATTTCTGCTAGCAATATATGTGTGTGTGTTTGAGTGTGTGTGAGAGAGATAAATGATCCCCCTGGAATTCAGCTGAAATGTTTCCTATCCCCCCTCCACTCCTACTGTTTGAATTAAGTGATGGGCCATTCCATATATTAAGGCACATTTAAAGAATGCTAGTTCTCTAGAATTCCTGAAAGGCGAATAAGTGCAAATGCCTTCCCTTCCTCTAAGACATCAACTCCAAATAATCAACAGATCCGTGGGACCAGGTGGGGGCCCAAAATAACAAATGACAAAAACAAGCAAGACTCCATATCTTCCACCAGGAAGAAATTTAGGAAGCTGCCTTGTACAGCTCAGGACATGTTCTTGGTTCCTGCAGTATTTTACCAATTATCCATTTGTACTGGATTCTGTTGTGCTTTATTATGGTGTGAACGCTTTCATAAATGAAAAGCAATATAAAAATGTTAATAATAATAAAAGTTGCTTTTTTTATACCTCATAATAACAATGGCAATGAAATACAGACTAAGCAAAGCCTCTTCCTCCTTTTTGTTTTAAAGAAAGTGGGTGTATAGAAACAAAAAAAGGAAGGTCTGTAGCTCAGTAGCAGACCACACACTTGGCAGGCGGGCTAAATTAGTTCCACTGAAATCAGTGGAAGAAGTTCCTTAATGATTAAAGTCAGCCATCCCCAAACTTGTGCCCTCCAGATGTTTGGACTGATCAGATGTCAAAGAGATAAACAACTACCTGACATTTAGAAGGCATCTGAAGGCAGCCCTGTTCAAGGAAGTTTTTAATGTGTGACATTTAATGTATTTTTAATCTTTGTTGGAAGCCACCTAGAGTGGCTGGGGAGGCCCAGCCAGATGGGCGGGGTACAAATAATAAATTATTATTATTATTATTAGACTGCAATTCTTATCCGACCCAGCCAGCAGGGCTGCTGTGAGCTGCATCTGGAGGGCACCCGGTTTTTGAAGGCTGGGGTGGAATGTGAGAAGATCAAATACCAATAAATAAATGGATGATAATCCCAGATTTCTTCCTTTTCTTTTTTTAGAACATAAGAGCCTGGTGGATCAGGCAAAAGGCCCATTAAGTCCAGCACTCTGTTCTCACAGTGGCCAGCTGCAGTGATTCCCAGCATCTGGCATTCAGAAGTATACCACCTCCAACAGTGGAGGAAGAACACAACCACTGTGTGTTCTGCCTCCACTGAGAACCTTCTCCTCCATGAATTTGTCTAATCCTCCTTTAAAGTCATCCATGTCGGTGACCATCACTACAACTATGCAAAGTGCCGACTTTTACTTTAAATTTTATTTTAGTACCACCCACAAGTCCTCAGGCTAGGATAGCTCAGAGCATGAGACTCTTAATCTCAGGGTTGTGGGTTTGATCCCAATGTTGGGCAAAGGATTCCTGCATTGCAGGGGGGTGGGGAGTGGGCTAGAGGACCCTCATGGTCTCTTCCAAACCCTACGACTCTATGATTCAAACCATCTGGAGAGCTCAAGCATCTGGGAGGTTGGCTTAAGTCGTGAATAATTTGTCCCATTGATTCCACAGTTCAGCTGCCTTTGCCTGCTGCATCCAACTCACCTGTTTCCCACCACACAAACCTTACAATACACGTGGCTCTCCATGTATTGCTGGACTGCAACTCCCATAATCCCAGACCATTGGCCATGCTGGCTGGAGCTGATGGCCTCCGCCCATGATTAGCAATTCCTTATTAGTACAGCCACTGCTGATGTCTGGCTGTTTCCCTAAAACACTGGAAGTTTAAAGACATCTACCCAACCTCATTAATCCCATGAGAAGATTGGGTTCTGATCTGGATTCTACCACAGACACAAAAGTCCCTGACCAGACATGAGCTCACCCACTAGGCATCTCTCAGACCTCTGTCCGCAAAATGAAGATAAAAGTGATCCACCTCACAGGGATGTTGTGAGGATAAACAGATACAAAATAATGTATTTGAACTATGAATTATTTGTGTTGTGGAGCACAATCCATTGTACAGATGTAAGATGCCTTTAATTCAACGGGGCTTCCTCCCAGCTGCATGCATAAGGAAGGAAAGGCATTGTAAAAACTGTTCATAATGGCAACATTCAAATTGTCAGGGTTTTAAATTCCTTCCCCAGCACTAAGGGCAGCTCAGAATATATACTGTTAGAAGCAGCTTTATCCTCTAGTCTAGGCCAGGGTCTTCCAGAGCAAAGATTTCTAGTCAGGAGGAGGACCGGACTGCAATTCCAGTCAGAAGAATCACAGCTAAATGCAAATTATACATGTGTTCCAATCATGGTAATCCAGTATCCGAACTGGGCCGAACCTTGCCGACGCATTTTCCCCCCCAACCGAACGCTTCCGAAGACAAGACAAGCGCTGCGCCCGACAATAGCCGAGACAAGCCGAGTCTTGCCGATCTCCCAAGAGCCTATTCGAGTCTCTTCTGGGCGCTGTCCACCACTTGCACAGCCTGAAACCTTTACCTGCCACCCCAGGAACAAGCGAAGAGATAATAGAGCCCAAGGGTGGGAGAACACACAGTGGTCGCTGTAGGGGTGTGTATGTATGAGAGAGAGAGAGAGAGAGAGAGAGAGAGAGAGAGAGAGAGAGAGAGCAGCTTTGCAAACGAGTGTGCATTTCTCCCTCTCTCTCGCTTAGCAACACGCAAGCCGCCTAAAGGGCGGGGAAGGCTCTTGCAGTCAGCAACAGCAAACCTCGCTCTCCTTTTCTTGAAGGCAAACGCCTTGCAAACGGCAACTGGGAACCCAAAGCATTGCATTGCAATGCAATGCTGGGATTCTTTCCCCACGACCACCTTTTGGCTTCTTTTCCTTCTCTAAAATGGGAACACTCTATCCCATCGTCCATACTCCCCACTCCCCAACCGATGTCCCCCTTCCCAAAGGAACACCATTCGTCCACCTCCCAAAGCAAGGTGCAACTAGATGCAGCGACTTGTTCGTTGCACCGGCACCCTCACTCGCTCGGCCTGGGTGCACGATGGGGCTACGCAACACCTGTGCCTAGCCAGCTGCCCAAACACAGCCTTTCTTCCTGGCACACATACACACACCTCATGGGATTTTCAAATCAATATCATAGATCGTTAAGCAGGATCGGCCGCTGCGGAGCAGAGAAGGAAGTTGACCGGAATAGCTCCTATGGCGCCCCGTTAAGGTGTTGGGGACGAAATTAAGCAGGGTTTGGGTGTCGTGCGTAAAAAGAGAGGGGACGGAGCTGCATCCTTCGTTAGCTGGCTGCTGATTTATTTCCTCCCATATCCCAGCTTAATTTGCAGTTGCAAGCCAAATTCTGCCATAATTAATTAAATGGGGGGTGTTTAGAGGCTCAAATCTAGAAAGGAGAAGAAGGGAGGGGGGAAGAGTACGATAAGCGTCAGCGAGGCTTGCTTTAAATCTGCCTAATGAGCAGATTTCCACCACCCGATAGAAAGAGAGAAATGAAGCAGAGATAGGCGATCCAGCCTAAGCAGCCCATGTCCGGAGATCAAATGAGGGAGGAGATCAGGAGGGAGCTCAGGGAAGGAGATAAGATCCCGACATTAAGCTTCATTGACAGTGTGATGTTTAATGGCTGCGCCTGGTTGGACGATCTCGGCCAGGCACATCCTTCCCAGGACCCTGCCAGCCCCTCCCTGCTCCCTCCTCCTTTCTTTGGGGTGGCGAAGGAGGGAGAGCAGCAGAGCAACCACACTTCAGCACCAAAGCTACAGAACAGCGGACACCTGGAGCTTCCCTGGTTAGCATAAAAAGGAGAGAGGGTGGGGCGGGGTGGGGCTGGATGCCCACCCCCCCTCTTGCCCATCCGCCTTCCCAGCCTTCTCAATCCCTGCTCCAGATGTTGGCCTCCCCGCAAGAGGGCCCCTCCAAGGCAGCCAGCAAGGAGCAATCCCCAAGCAGAGCTTCCCACTTCAAACATGGCGGACGCCCATTCATACAACCAAAAAGACCTGTTCGCCTTTTCCCTCCCCGTTGGTCTCTCTCTCTCCCCACCCAAGCCCACCCCGCCTTGCCAATTCCCACAACAAGAAATCGAGGGGTGGTGCCTGGGTTTCTCTCCCCCCCCTCCCTTTTGAATGGCAACATGCTAAAATCATTGGGATAGGCACAACACACACACACACGCTAAATAAGACTGCTGTGATGATGTAAAATCCTCAAAGGGGGACTTACTTCATCTGCTTCACGATGGTGCTTTTCCCGGATTCCCCAGCCCCTGTTAGGACAAAAAGCCAAAAATAAAACCCTGATAAAGGCAAGATCTGGCGAGGGTGATAATATAAGGAGATCAAGGAGATTACATAGGAAGGAGCAGCTGCACTAATGGTTGCCACGGCCGGGGGGGGGGCGAAGAGGAGAGATCATGTTTGTGCAATTGAGGTTTCCGTGCAAAAGGGATAATGGTAGGCTAGTTTTCAATGCAGAAGAATGGGGAGGTGGCACAGAATCATACCTGTTGGGTGGGCTATCGAAGGTTTCCATTTGGGCAATACAATGAATTTTTTTTAATTTTTATTTTTTTTTGCACATGATGCAATGAGGCTCAGCAAAATCATGCCTAAAAGGAAAGGGCCTGCCAGTGTACGTGTGTGTGTAAGAGATGGGGAGAGGGAGGGAGATAGCGGAGGGGAGAGATGGAGCATAGTTGTACAATAGGTGGGGCAGAAGATGGAGGATGGAAAATAAATCACACCTAGTTGGTGGAAGGGAATGGGTGTGCGCCCCCCCTCCCGCGCCGCCCTTTTAACTGGAAGGGGCAGGAGGGAGAAGATCGTATTTGTGCTCTAGAGTTGACAAGGCAGGCAGGTGGGGCGAGAATGGCAAATAAGTGTGTGTGTGTTTGTTTGTTTCGAGGGAGGGGGGAAAGCGATGGCTCTGCCCAACAAATGTGGCAAGCAGAGCTGAAATGCCAATCTAAATAGGAAGGTGGCCGGGATAGGGGCTGACACACGGGAGTGGTGGACCTGGGGGTGGGGTGGGGGGTTCTGGCTGTGTCAGAATCCTACCTGGGTGTGGAGGGAGGGAGGGGTGGAGGGAGGGGGCGCAGCTGGGCTCGAGCCCGCTTACCTAGCAAGAGCAGCTTCACATCTTTGGCCGCGCTGATGCCGTCCTCCTTGAGGTTCTTCTCGATCGCCTTGCTCCTCTCCAAGGCGGCTCTTTCTTCGGCGCTCAGTGTACATCCCATGGTGGCCGGGAAATGTGTTCTCCCGGGCTGGCGGACACTTCTCTCGGTCCCCCCAACCCCCCCTTTTTATCAGACACTCCAAGGAGGAAAAACGGGAGGGGAAACAAAAATCAAAACACAACCACCAACGCAGCAGAAAAGCAAGATAGGAAGAGGAGGGGTGGGGATGTAGACCTTTGCTTAGATGTCAAAAATAAATTAAAATGAAGCACCAGGGGGAATATAATACAGATTCTCTCTCTCTCTTTCTGGCTGGCTGCCCCCTCGCTCTTCTCCTTCTTCCTTCCCGGCTCTGCGTCTCCGTAGCCCCAGCAAATCAATGCATCTAAATGAGAGCCGAGCCTTCCGGGGGCTGGCAGGCGCTGCTGGGAGGGGGTGCGCTGGAAGGAGACGAGGGAGATCTCTTGCGATGGGAGAAGGAGCAGGGCGCGATGGGCTCTGGGCGCCCCCTTCCTTGGTCTGGAGCTGGGCGGCCTCTTGGGGGACGCGGCAGCGGGCGGGCGGGTGGCGAGCGCGCTGGGGCTGCTGCTGCTGCTTCTGGCGTCGGAGCGAGAGCCGAGCCCTTTCCCCTCTGGGCGGCTGTGTCGCCGGCGGGATGCCTGCCTTCGTCGCTGGGCTGCTGCCTGGACGGCTCTCGGGGCGAGGCGCTTCCTTCCTCCTGGCGAGTCTTCCTCTCCTCCCTCCCCCGAACCTGGGGGTCTCTAATGGGCGGCGGCGGCGATGGCTGCGAGCGATCGCATCGCTCAGCCGATCCTAATGGCAAGAAATGCAGAAAGGGGCGACGCGAGCTCGCGGCAGCAGCAGCGCAGCAGCAGCAGCCAGGCGAGGAGGAGGGAGGGAGCGGGGAGGGCGGGCGAGTGCGCCAGGGCTGAGCCGCGCCGAGGCTGCCTTCCCTTGCACAGGCGAGGCTGGGCTGGCTGACGTCGGCCGCGCTGCCCGCGCATGCGCCCGCCCGGCCGAGAGGAAGCTCGGCGAGGAGGAGGAGAGCGGGCCGAGCGAGCGAGCGAGCAAGCGAGAGAACGGGCCGAGAAGCCGCTTCGAGATGCGGCTGCTGCTGCCGCCGGCGCCAAGGAGCCTCCCTCCCTCCCAGTTCACGGCGCTGCAGTTGTGCAGCCGAAGTGGGGAGGGCTCGGCGGAGCTTAGAAATCAGGGATGCGGAGGCTTGTTGAGTCGGAGGGCCACATTCCCTCCTGGGAAACCATTTGGGGGCCACTTGCCGGGTGTGGGCGGGGCAAGAGGCCGAAGTGGGCGGAGCAATGGGGCATGCCTTATCTTTGTGTAGGATGCTAGTTCACAGGCACACAGGGGTGCCAACTTGAATAAAATGATCACATGATGTGCACCCACACTTTTTGAATGGCAATGCCCAGCAACTTGGGGGGGGGAGCCCCCTCAAATATTTTGTTGGGGAAGGGCAAAGGGATACACACACACACACACACCCCTTCATTCAGGGGAACCAAAGGCATAAGAACATTAGACAATCCTGCTGGCTGGGTAGCTCAATTGGTTTGAACATGGTGCTAAGACCAAGGTTGCAGGTTCGATCCCCATATGGGACAGCTGCATATTCCTGCGTCGCACAAGGTGATCCTCAGGGTCCCTTCCAACTTTACAGTTCAATGATTCTATGGCAATCGGGCCAATGGCCCATCTAGTCCAGCACCCTATTGTCACAGTGGCCGACCAGACACTCCCCCGCTGTGGTTTCCAGCAACTGTTATCCAGAAGGATATTGCTTCCAACCGACCATGGAATATCCTTTCTCATAATTTGAATCCATCGATTTGGGCTCTACCCTCTGGAGCAGCAGAAAACAAGCTTGCTCCATCTTTCATGTGGCAGCCCTTCAGATATTTAAGAAGTCTATCACATCACCTCCCAATCTTCTCCTGGCTGAGCACCCCAACTTCCTCTACCATTTATCATGAGGCCTGAACTTCTTGCGTCCCTCCCCAGATTTAGAAATAATAAGTCTTTCACCTAACCTACCTCATAGGGTTTTTGTGAGGATACGGGGGGGACGGGACCCATGTATGTCACCTTGAGCTCCTTGGAGGAGAGATGGGATATAAGTGGAATAAACAGATAAAATGAAGAAAGAAGAGGAAGCTAAGTCAAGCTACAAGAAATATTTCAGCTGAACATCAGAAGAACTTTCTGACAGTTTGATAGTGGAACAGACTCTGACCAGAAGTGGTGGGCTCTCCTTCCTTGGAGGTTTCTAAGCAGAAGTCGGATGGTCATCTGTCATATATGATCTAGTTGAGATTTCTGCATTGCAGGGGGTTGGACTAGATGACTCTAGGTAGGTGGCCTTTTTGACAGCCTTTTTCTCCCCCAGAAATCCAAATACTGACATGTCTGAGGCATTTGAAGAACAACAACATTTGTTTGTTTATTTGCAAATGCAGTACAGAAAAGAGAAGGAGTAACACCAGCTGATATTAGCCATAAAAAGATTTCATTTATCTTGAGTTTGGCCACATTCACTGCATGCATTTAAAGCACTATGATACCACTTTAAACAGCCATGGCCTCCCCCAAGGAATTCTGGGAACTGTAATTTGTTAAACGTGCTGGGAGTTGTTAGGAGACCCCGATTCTACTCCTAGAATTACAGTTTCGGGTTGCCAAGGCCAAGAGAGTTGGTGCAGAAACCACCTCTTCAACCCTATATAGGGTTGTTACTTATGCTTCACCCCCAAAAGGATCAGAGCAGAATACCAATTTTCATAAAATTTGCATGTGCTAATGTATATGCATACGGATACAAATTTAGAAATAATTACTATAATTTAAATGGAAATACAACACATCTCACTATGAAGCCAGAGACCAGATGACAGGTAGCCCTACTCAGTTTGCAGCCCGTTGTTGATGGGCAACTTCAAGATCTCCCCCCAACCCTCCCTTTCTATGGCCTTAAACCAGACTTGGACAATAGAGACCATTAACCTAGCATTTTCTAGGTATGGGTCTGAGCAGTTTTCCCCTTACTCCTACTCCTTTCCCATGGAAAATTTGCTCTTTAGTGCTAAATCAGAGCAAACGTCAATCTGGAGAAAAGCGGAGTTGCCATTTGCTCTGCTTGGGCGCTAAAGAGCAGTTTCTTCTGGGGCAAAGCAGCAGGACAACAGGAAGTATGGATGAGCCTTCAAAGAGAATTGGACAAATACATGGAGAATAAGGCTACTATGATGTCTATGTTGCCCCTTCACTGTTGGGGGCAGTATGCCTCTGAATACCAGTAGCTGGGGTCTCCTGGTGCTCTGGTGCTCAGATCCTGCTTGCGGGTTTCCCATTAGGGCATCTGGTTGGCCACTGTGAGAACAGGATGCTGGATCAGATGGACTTGGACTGATCCAACAAAGCTCTTCTTACGCACTTACATTACGTCCTTGTGCTGGTCGACCTTTGACTTTGGAAAAAACATTTTTCCTTCCGCAATCCTTTCACTGGAGGAATTTCTTTTCAGGTTCATGGCTACCTAGGCTCCCAAACAGTGTATAGCCCCCTTTCACCTAGATCCTTTCTGACTGTGTTGTCTTGGCAAGCTAGCCAGCCATGACTGACCCCAAATTCTTACCACTTGAGAGTGGATTGCATTAGGCTTTGGAAATGCAGTATAAGCCAACACTCCGTGTGTGTGTGTGTGTGTGTGTGTGTGTCTTTGAATATCAAGGCTGTGCTAAAGTGGAAATGAATAGAAATAACGCTTGGCCTTGGGAGGGGAGGGAAATAAACCAGCAAAAACAGTTTTCAAAAAAGAAAGGGTCTCCTGCAGTGCTAACCACCATATTCTTGCAGCATTTTTTTAATGTGGTGTGATGGAGATAAAAAGTAGGAAGTTTAAGTTGTGCAGGGAGTAATTGAGCAGCTTATTTTCATAAGCCAGGGTGTGGAAATGGAACAAAGAGCTCAGGTGGCGAAAAGCGTGCTACCCATTTAAACAATTAACCATGCAACAGACAATGAGGAATATTATTCAAAAGAAATATTTAGCTTGGCAGCCATTAATATTTCCATAGTGCTTAGTTCCTTAGCACGCTTATGGCATAGTTATGCTGCTGACTTTTACACACACGTACACACACATACCCCAATTAGCTGCCATGGCTTCTCCAAAAGATCATGCAAAGAGTATTTTGGTGAGGGAGACTGAGAATGCTATTAAGGGATCTTTAGGACTCTCCCAATACAGTTTAAATGACTGTTAAGCCTTTTAAATTCTGTAACGCAGGGCAACATTCACACCACACATTTAAAGCACCATGATACCATGGCTTCCCCTAAAGAATTCTGGGAACTGTTACAGGTGTTGTTAGGAGACCCCTATTTCCTTCACAGTGTCCCATGTGAAAAAGGATTGATGGTTATACCATTCTGTAGATTGTAGCTCTGTGAGGAGAATAGGTACCGGTATCTCCTCACAACTCTTAACCCATGTCCCTTCTGCTTCGATTTGTATTTGCATAGCCTCCCCACATGGTTGAATGTGTAATGGCTGTAGGGCCTGGTCCGTGGGCTCCAGCTTGTGCAACACCCTTCAGCTAGACTGTTGATAGGGATAAAATATCACCACCACAAAATTCCAGTGCTCAAAAGCCTTCATTGACTTCTCACATGCCACCAGGGCAGGTTCAACGTTCTTGCATGAATTAACAATGCCCTTAACAAGGGCTGCCTAATCCCTAATATTCCTGCCCGATCACTGAGGTCTTCAGGTGAGTTACTGCTTGGGGTCCCTCATGGCTTTGATGCATGGCTTATATCCAACAGGAGTGGGTTTTTTTTAGTATTGTGGACCTAATTTTAAGGAGCTTTCTTTCAGTTAAGGTCAGACATGCTCGCTTCCTGCTCAACTTCTAGCACACAATGAACACTTTTTTATATTATTACAACAGGTACAGTGGTACCTCAGGCTAAGTACTTAATTCGTTCCAGGGGTCTGTTCTTAACCTGAAACTGTTCTTAACCTGAATCACCATTTTAGCTAATGGGGCCTCCTGCTGCTGCCGCGCCGCCAGAGCACAATTTCTGTTCTCATCCTGAAGCAAAGTTCTTAACCCGAGGTACTATTTCTGGGTTACCAGAGTCTGTAACCTGAAGCGTATGTAAACCGAGGTACCACTTTAATTGATTGATGTTTGATAGTTTAAACTGATTTTTTTTGGGGGGGGGTTTCATCTTTGTAAACAACTTAGAAATGATTGTACATAAGTGGTGTATAAATTGTTTAAATCAATCAATCAATCAATCAATCAATCAATCAATTTGTGGTTATGGGAAATTGCAAATTGGGAGCTTATCTGCTGAGGGGGTGAATCAAGAAGCAGCAGACAGAACAGCATGACCCAGAAGGTTTCCACTGTGGATTAGTGAGGCTGGTCAAAGCTGGCTTTAGAGAGGCACCAATGGCAAATCACTATTTTCATTGGGAGGAAATGTGTATATCTCACATTCAAAAATGTGTATATGAGAAGAAATGGAAAAATATAAAATGCAGAGAAAATGAAATTTATATATTCATCTATCCTAATGAGGACCAGGGACAACCCATCCTTTTTGGCTTTGCGGGGATTGTACTTTCCTAGAAACTATAGGGAGTAGTCCTGGACTCTCCCCAGTTGTTGCAACTATTAACTTTGGATCTACTTCCAATCTTTTAAAAATTAAACTGGTTGGTTTTTGCTCTCAATCACTGAGCAAATAGAGGTAGTGGTACTTAATTCCTCTAGCTGGAGTAAGCTTTTGTAATACCTTTCATTTTCTGT